AGATGAACTGAAAGCCATACCGCACCGGAAGCTCGCATAACATATTGACTGTTACGCCCAGTGTATGAAGAATGCCGTTGCGGTGGTAACAAACATTGTGGTACTTAAAGAGAGAACGACACGTGCGAAACGAGCCGTTTTGTAGCTTCACTGATCTTTCTTTTCGCTATGACGTACACACACACACACACACACACACACACACACACACACACACACACGCACACACACACACACACACACATATATATATATACATATATATATATATATATATATATATATATATATATATATATATATATATATATATATATATATATATATATATATTTATTGTGACAAAGCGAGATTGACGAGCACACAAAGCACCTCAAGCAAATACGATTTATCGATCGCTAGAAACAGACGGCAACGACTTCTTCGTCTTTTGCCCTCGGCCACGGACACTCGCGCTACTTCGTTGTCCTCACCTCTGACACATACGCGTGGCATTATTCCCCCTTTGAAAAACATCGTCCCGATGTTAAACGTTCGAGAAGCAAGGCGAAACCAAAACTGCACATTTAGTCACTGAAAGTAAGGCTTCATCCGAAGCACGTAAACAATTTCTGGCGAATGTCTGCGCCGCTTCGGACACTGCACGCCGTCCGGAACAACCTCGTAGTTGACGTCACTGATGCGCTGCAGAACCTTGTAGGGTCCGAAGTATCTTCGCAACAGCTTTTCGGAGAGACCACGCTGACGAATAGGTGTCCAGACCCATACATTGTCGTCCACGTTGTATATGACGGGCCTGTGCCGGATGTTGTAATGTTTGGCTTCGTCGTCTTGTTGTTTGGTGATTCGCAACCTGGCAAGTTGTCTGGCTTCTCCTGCTAGCTGGGTAAAATCTTCGGCATCCGTCTAATTGCCATCAATTTCATGAGGGAGCATTGCGTATAACGTTGTCGTAACCTCGCGTCCGTAAAGGAGGCTGAAGGGTGTCTTCCGAGTGGTTTCCTGGCGAGCCGTGTTGTACGCGAACGTTACGTAGGGCAAAATGAGGTCCAAGTTCTTGTACTCTACATCAACATACATGCTTATCATGTCAGCCAGGGTCTTGTTGAGGCGTTCGGTGAGCCCGTTGGTCTGGGGATGATACGCCGTTGTCTTCCTGTGAGCTGTACCACTTAGTTGGAAAATGGTGTCCAAAAGCTTGGCCATGAACGCAGTACCTCTGTCGTTGATGACTATTGCGGGAGCACCGTGTTTTAAGACAATGGCTCCGATGAAAAATTGCGCCGCTTCAGCTGCCGTTGCCCGTGGCAGAGCGCCTGTCTTCGCGTATCGGGTCAGGTAATCCATGGCGACGATTATCCACCTGTTTCCAGTTGCAGACATAGGGAAGGGGCCCAGAATATCCATGCCGATTTGTGCGAACGGTGTTGCCGGCACTCGGACAGGCTGCAGCAGACCAGCTGGTTTGATGGATGGTGGCTTGCGGTGCTGGAAATCTAGGCATGCCTGCACGTAATTTTTGACAACTTCAGCAAGTCTTGGCCAGTAATAGTTCTGCCTTATCCTCGCCAATGTTCTTGCGTAACCCAAGTGACCAGTGGTAGGTTCGTCGTGAAAGGCTTGTAGTACCTCACGGCGAAGCGAAGAAGGAACGACGAGCAAGTAGCTGTTGCCGGTGGGTGAAAAGTTCCTCTTATAAAGAACGTCATTTCGTAAGCAGTACGACGGCAGCCCTCTCGCAAATAACTTCAGCACGCTATTCGTGCGCCCTTGTAGGTAATTTTTAAGTGGTAGCAGCTAAGCATCGTCGCGCTGCTGTTGAGAAAAGGCGGCAGTGTCCAGAATTCCCAGAAAGGCCGTGTCGTCATCGTCGTTGTCCGGGGATGCCGTCTCAACAGGAGACCGAGAAAGACATTCGGCATCGGTGTGTCGTTTGCCCGACTTGTAAGCAACAGTGAAGTCAAATTCTTGAAGCCGAAGACTCCATCGTGCAAGACGGCCAGACGGATCTTTCAAGTAGACTAACCAACAGAGAGAGTGATGATCGCTGATAACGGTGAATGGGCGGCCGTACAAATAAGGACGAAACTTCAGGACTGCCTATACCATTGCAAGACATTCTTTTTCCGTCGTAGTGTAATTAGCTTCCGCTCGGGACAGCGTCCTGCTGGCGTAGGTGATCACGTTTTCGTTGTTGTCCTTCTACTGTACGAGCACTGCTCCAAGACCCACATTACTAGCGTCTGTACGAAGTATTGTTGGCACGTCTTCATCGTAGTGGGCCAGCAAGGGGGGTGTTTACATGCGCTGACGAAGCTCGTGAAACGCCTGCTCTTGGTCTTCGCCCCATCTGAAGGGGGTATCTCCCCGAGTAAGGTGTGTCAATGGCCATGCGATGCGCGAAAAATTAGCAATAAATCATCGGTAATAGGCACAGAGTCCTAAATAACGTCACACTGATTTTTTTTCTGATGGTGTCGGGAAGTTTGCCACGGTGGCAATTATATACGGGTCGGGTCGGATCTCTTGACTGCTCACAGCGTGACCGAGGAATTGAAGTTCGTGGAAGCTGAAGTGGCACTTTTCAGGTTTTAGAGTAAGACCGGCCAAGCGTATTGCTTCAAAAACTGCTTCGAGCCTTCGTAAGTGTTCCTTTAATGTCGCCGAAAAGACAATCACGTCGTCGAGGTACACCAAGCAGGTTTGCCACCTAAGCCCCGACAGAACCGTGTTCATGAGACACTGGAATGTTGCTGGTGCCGAACACAAACCGAAAGGAAGATCCTGAAATTCATAAAGTCCATCGGGCGTAACAAAGGCGGTCTTCTTACGATCTCTCTCATCCACTTCAATTTGCCAGTAGCCGCTTTTCAAGTCCATAGACAAAAAGTAGCGTGCGTTTCGTAGTCTATCCAATGAATCATCATTACGCGGCAGAGGGTAGACGCCCTTCTTTGGGATTTGATTAAGCTTATGGTAGTCGACGCAGAAACGCAAGCTGCCGTCCTTCTTTTTGACGAGTACTACAGGTGATGCCCAAGGACTGTTAGATGGCCGAATAACACCATCTTCTCGCATCGTTTTCACCTGTTTTTGAATTGCCTCACGCTCCTTTGGGGCGACTCGATAAGGATTTTGCCGGATGGGTCTGGCGTCGGAATCCGTAATGATGCGGTGTTTCGTCAGTGCCGTTTGACCAACTCTTGATGAGGATGAGAAGCAGCCGTGGAACTTGTTGACAAGCGTGAGAAGGCGGTCTCGCTCAATGGGAGATAACATTGGACCAATGCCTACAGGTGTCGGTGTAGTGATAGTAGGCGCTGCTGCTTTCTCCACTAAATGACAATCTTCTGTTTGCGAGAGTTCGTAGAAATAGGCAATAGCCGTGCCTTTAACTATGTATTGGCGTTCTCTGCGGAAATTTGTCAATAGGAGCTCAGCGCATCCGTCAATAACAGTGATGACAGCCCTGACAATAGAAATGCCGCTAGTGATTGCGAGCTCTTTGATGTGTTCAGCGATGCCAGTACCGTTTTGTAACTTGTCACAATGGACGGATACGAGGGAACAACTTCGTGGCGGCAGTATGACGTCGTCATCGGCAATACGGAAGCGACGTAGCTGGTCAAACGCTTCACGAGTGCAGCGTTTGAACTGTTTCAGCCAGTCTTGTGCGTCTTCATAGGTCTCACCCTGAAAGCAGTCAGGAATCATGGGATTCTGAAGTGTCATGTGCGATGGAGCTGCAGTAGCCATGGTGGCTGAAGGAGGCAAGCGATTGCTGGCAGTCTCTGTCAAGGAATTGAGCTCGGGAGCCAGGCCTCGCTGACGGCGGCGGAAACGGTGGACTGGTGTTTCGACGGGTGGTAGCGATTCCGGGCTCGAATGTCGAGTCCGCGAAGTGGTGCCAAGCATAAAGACGTACCCAGCAGCTCCATCAGTGTGACGACGCGAGATTGACGAGCACACTAAGCGCCTCAAACAAATACGATTTATCGATCGCAGGAAACAGTTTGTTTGTTTGTTTGTTTGTTTCCCTCGCAGGAAACAGACTGCAATGGCTTCTTCATCTTTTGCCCTCGACCAAGGACACTCGCGCTGCTTCGTTGTCCTCACCACTGGCACATACACATGGCAATATATATATATATATATATATATATATATATATAATCAATGCTCTTACATTTTTTTTCTTTTAGTTTCTTCAAACAACGGCGCCCGGAACGTCTCCAGCACGTTTCCTCCAGCACGAGGTGTTCGGCGCATTCTTTGACCAGCTGTGCAGCATTTAAGCTGGAAAAGCCGGAGAGCTTATTTTCTGTTGCTTTGAGCAAAAAATTATGCTAATAAAGATAAATTCAGTAGCAATCCGTAGTTTGATGCAATGCCACGATCAAAATATCGTTACATTTATCCAAATATATGGCGGCAACCTTCCGTCATAATTTCCGCACGAAGTAGTCTGGTGAGCGCCACTACGAGTCATGCAGTCGGCACAAATCTTTCCAAGCGTTAGACGGCCCTTGTAACGTTTGTACTACATAGAGTATGCATTCTAGGATACTTTAAGCGGCCAGTGTTGCGCCCACAGTTCTTCAATTTCATACGGCGTGGTTGAGGCACGCAGCCACAAACACATCCAGACTAGCCGATGATGTTACGATGGGCGGAAGGACCAACTACGTTGTCGCGTTCTATTCTCTGAGCGTGAAAACTCAAGCATAATCTTAGTTCTTTTTCTCTTGTGCGTGTTCTTGATTACCAACCTTCGTCCAGCTGCACGCGCGGTAATTTTGCTAGTCTGAAATAGTAGTTAGGCTATATGTGGCAAATTGTTTTTCTTTACTGCCGTTCAAAAAAACCCAGGCGGTCGAAGAATACATTCAGAGCACTTCAATAGCCTGCGCCACCTCGCAACATTACCCATTATCGCAACCAACAAACGTTTACACTTTATTTTTTTATTTAAAGCCTGAAACAATTTGAGAACTCCAATATTTTGACATGAGTCTTCCTTTATTCAGCAGGAATTTACTTGCTGTTGATTTATCTTCCACCTCCGACACCACCTCCAAGAGACCTGCCTCCTCCGACACCACCTCCTAGAGATCTTCCACCTCCGACACCACCTCCTAGAGATCTGCCACCTCCAACACCACCTCCTAGGGATCTTCCCCCTCCGACACCACCTCCAAGAGATCTGCCTCCTCCAACACCACCTCCTAGGGATCTTCCCCCTCCGACACCACCTCCAAGAGATCTGCCTCCTCCGACACCACCTCCTAGAGATCTTCCACCTCCGACACCACCTCCTAGAGATCTTCCACCTCCGACACCTCCTCCTAGAGATCTGCCACCTCCAACACCACCTCCTAGGGATCTGCCACCTCCGACACCACCTCCCAGTGAAGCAACAGCTTCATTAGTCAAGACAGCTGCAAAGAAAAAGCAGGAAATGAATCTGGTGCTTTCACTACACACCTCAGTGTTAGACAACAAGCACGGTGATGGACAGCGTAAATAAAATATCTTTCGCAATGGAGTGCAAAGACAGTGGGCTTTTTTGCAAATATATGGCTATATTTTTGAGCATCCACATAAAAGCAAATAATCAATTCCGCTTAACTGCACAACTCTTGAACAGTGGCTGGTGTTTTTCTCATAGCTCTGTGAATAAAGCAGCCTCCAAAGGCCACAAATTTGACCTATTTTCAACTACATCTGGTGGTACAACTTTCAATGTCCTATTAACCATAAGAGCCTTTAGACAGTTCTTTAGAACAATAATAATTTCTATGGTATTACTATATGAATTTTGTACCGCAGATAGTGAATTTTTTTTCAATTTTGTACACCACATTTCACTGTGGTCAATGAAATTTTATTCAACACCTCAGGTGCAGGAATAGATGGATGTATCACAGATAGTTTCTGTGCAAGATATTACTGCGGTCACATAAACCAGTTAATAAGCAAGGAACACTTAGCAAACCTAAAGTGAAAAGCAAAATTACCAATACATGTCTGAGTCTACAAACACGCCTTTATCAAAATTGTAGTTCGTAACCATCCATTTAAGTTTTATTAGGCATGGTGAGGTTTGAGAGGAGAAAACTATGAAGAATGGCCGCTATCGTATCACAAAATCACAAGTACATCAGTTATTACATCTTGCTAAGGCTTCTATCACCAATCACGTGACTACATCATGCCAAGGCTACTATCGCGAAGAAAGCAAGAAACTGACGGCGTGAGAGCAGACGCTGTCACGAAACAGAGTACATAGGGCATATTTTCTCCACAGATATCAGCTGAATTATCTCAACGTTGCGTAGAGAACATCATTTGCTAATTAGTAAAAGCTGTTTTTGTGGTAATCATCATCACCTAGTGCCAAGACGACGCACAGCAGGACTTTGACTCCAGTAAGCCCATTCATGTTGTATTCACTGCAAGTATCAATAAAATAATGAGCTCAGTAACACACACCTACACACTTTGTCATCATGCCTCTTTTATTACAACACTCGTTTGGCTCACGTTATCTGCGCGTAGTGTTCGTTGTAACTATTTCAGTGAATTTTTATACCACGATAGTTTGCTCGAATAGCCCGATTTGGTTGAGCGTAAGAAATTTGCGAGGTAGGTATTTTAGAGTGAAACACCATTTTAAATAATTTAGATGATATTGTTTATCAACGGTATATTATCAAAGAAACAGAGTTTTCTGTGGTAACTACACTTCATCAGGTCATATTTAGTCACGATGCACGGAGTTGTTAAGATATCAACCAAAATGTTCTTTCGAACCTTTATCATGATTAAAGTTCGGCCCCGATAGAAAAAAAGAATTAGGTGGAGTAATGTCACCACTGCACTCCTAATTGACTATGATCTCTGGTCACACGTTACTTTTTAAATAGAGGGAAGCACAGATATTTCGTGAAATTTAGACATTGATATCAGTGTTACTTTTTGAAATTGTGGTGGGAGCGTCTATGTATACTTTATTACTATGTTTCGAAAGTGACGGATGCTCGAGACCTTGAAAAGTATTATGCCGAGGAAAGCCTAATAATATCTACAGCAGAACACATGTTAACAGTAGTTAAAATCTTACTGCTTACTGAACAACACTTCTGCGTTCAGAATGGTTTTTTTAAGTAAACCAGCTGTGGAACCATCAAATAAAAAAAAGCTCATCAGTGCATCTGAAGCCGTAGGTGGGCACGCTGCTACGATGGGGGCTCGGCGTTAAGTGTAGTGTCAATTTTTGAGTAATTTAACATTATTCACCATATTGGAGATTGGATTTCAGGTCTAGATGTTTTTTGTTTTAAATACCTAGGAAGCACAGCTTTATAAGAGCCGGCTATGAAATACGAAATAAATTGACTTGAAATACTCCGAAGATATCAACAAATGTTTCATAAAGAACGTTTCTATCAAACACGAGACTATACAATATAGATAGCTGAGCTGATCAGACAACTACAAATGTATATCGCTAAAATAAATGTTTTGAATCTTTAGGTAATTCTCATCTAAACCATTTCCTTTGTGCGGAGCCACTAGTATGTAAATGCATACTCACAAAGGTATCCTGTTGAAGACGAGACAGATGCCTTCAGTACAATCCTCTTTGTACCTGCAGTGTTTATATACCACTGCAAACTATCGTGACATGACTTTTGAGGATGTAATAACAAAAATAAATAGTCATGATTTTTTCGAAAGCAGAGTGACAGGCAATTTAGTCGCCGGAAACGATCAGGTTGAGCACAGCTGCAAAAGTGGACTCTTTGTAGAGAACGTCAGTGTAATTTGAAAAAAAGCAATTATAGCCTGCGTGTGATGGAGAGTGCATAGCAGCAAGAGATAATGTGTTTTTCTGTTGACTTATATAAAAATGTGAACTTCTTTAAAGATAACTCACAGTCGTACTTGCAGACAGTCTCATACTGATATTAGGTATTATCTTAGAAGTTTTGTTTCTTTGTATATTAAAAATGTGGCTTTTATTCGAATTGATCTGGTCTTTATATAGAACCTAAGATACAAAATTTAGAATGATACAACTGCAAAATATACATAATCACGTGAAACTTCAGAGTGTTTTTTGCCAAATGTAACAAAGTAAAGCGCATGAAATTATTTTCACAAAGTGTGACAACATATATGCTTGAAGAAATTGAACACGAGATTACAGCATTTTAATTAAAAATAACAAATCAGTACGAAAAGATAGGCAAACCAGCAAATTATATTCCGCGTTTGCAATGGTGAGCGTCGATGGTAGGGTCAAGTATTTTAAAATAGTGAATCAAACAATCAACTAGAAAAAGGTAAACTTTACTGTCGCAAAAAAGAGAAACAACAAATTCTTGGCGTTATAAAAAATTGTTGCTTAAAAAAAACAGCTCCACAATAACCTATATATAACAGCAGACATACCATCATTGGGGACGGGGCACATCATCCGAAAAGCAAAAGAACAAAAAAAAACGTGACATCGGTTGCATAAAAAATTCATGCAAATAGTTTTCCAACAGAGAGACTGGCATCGTATACCTATCAAATTGGAATACTAAATGTAGTGCACCCTACTTGATTGAAGCGCAATTATGTTTTAACTAAATATTTCAACGCGCAAAAAACGCACGTGTGGGCACCATTGCAATTATTCCACAGTGAAAAAATGTGATGATCCACAAGAATAATACGTACCCTAGTTGTACGCAGAGAGAATAATACTCTGTATGTAACTAGTAAATCTTCACGACACAAGCTACTGTAACGAACTACCTCTATTAAAGCTTTGTTCACCTTCTTTTATCGTATCATATCTTACAAACACCCCAAAATGTCCAGAACATCTTGATATTGAACGCGATGTCATTTCTGATATAATGCCTAATGTACTGCATAACCAGGTGGTATTGGCAGTTGCAATTATTAATATAAACTGTGCACGCTCCATTTTGAAAGCACGTAAAGTGGCCACGCTTTTTTTTTGGTGTCATGAATCTTCACATTGCTGCCCATGGTTTTTTAACACCTGGACTCATGAACGCGCCTCGCACCGTGGCAATAAAGGCGCTACTGTGATAGCTCAAGAGCTCACAGTTCTGCTCCAAAGAACTGTCCAACTCGCCTGAAGCGCGAACAAATTGATTGCAAGAAAGGAAAATGGCTGCGTCTTTATATAAATATGCCTTCAAATTTCATCTGCCAGGCACTTCCAAATTACGAAAAATTTGGGGACCATGAAGTTTCGCTTTTAAAAGATGAACGCGACAGCGTTATCCTGTTCGTAGTGGGTACGTCAACCAGCTTTGGACATTATTTAGTGTTACTTGAAAAATTCACATTGTGGATAACTACAATGCAATCGATAAATTTCAAAGTGATGTGTCACAGTGAACCTTTACATATGGCTGCATTCTGTCTAATTGATAGCATTTTTAAAACCACGGGCAAATATGCACGAGAAGTAATCTCGAGCTTGTAACACGCCAAATACGTTGTCTTAAGGTAATACGTGAAGTGAAGTGTGCGTCCTTTGTAATAAATGGCCAGCTTCAAACCATTAAATGGTTAACCTATTCACATGTTCTGATAGCCGATTTAGAGTATACGCTTGTGCTACGTGCCACGTGCCACGCAATTTTACAGCGATATAGCATGTTCGATTGTGAAGCATGCATACAATACACGTGTGCATGTCGCTCACGAATTAGGTTAAGTGCATATGCAAGAATACCAAGGTATTTTGATTGTACGTGAGGCCAAATTTTTACTAAGGGACTCAAGGTTTTGTGATTCATTTTACTTGCATTTTTCTCAATTACCTTGGTAATTGACATGTGGTGACTTTTTGTTCTGAAAAATGACGTTAACATCGACGATGTAATTCCCTCGAAACGAGCTGTTTACCGCTATCACGGTAATATCACAGGAGGAAGAGGAAAACTGTGTATTCCAAGTCATAATCTGCATGCAAGGCTCAATGTACTCAATGATCTGCATGCAACGCTCAATAATATTATTAACGTTGGATGGCATAGCACGAGCTGGTGAAGAACATTAATTGCAGTTCATGAGTGGTGCGTTTGTTTCTTTATTATGCTTGATACCAGACAACTTATGTATGTATTCATAAAAACTAAAACAAGCACCTGCAATTTTTCACCAGTAAGTTCGTGGATCTCTGTACCAATCGCCGTCAGAGCAAAACTTCTGCTCTGTAAACTGAACCTACGGCCTATACTCAAGCATACTTTTACCACTTTTGCGTGGTATTTAGATTACAGGGGTATGAAATGGGCACACATATGTTTTTTAAGTGTGATAGCTGAATGCTAACTCGAAAACTTTCTTATTAGTACCAGGCACCTATACGCTTTTGCTTTCTCTTCACTCCTCAGGTGTTAATCTGCCTTACCAGACTCGCTTGGGAACTACGAAAAGACAGCTAAAATACCACAGCAGCAAAAAAATCATGTTCACACACGCTGAACCTGAGGAGACTTGTTTTGTTACTCTATCATGTTGCCACCGCCTTCACCATAGGTCTAATACATTCCACTTGACCCTTTACAGGTGCTTTCAATTTTCTTTTGGTTTCACACATGAACAACGCAGTGAAGAAACTGTTTTCAGCGCTTCATGTTATTTTAGCCGACCCAGTAGAGGAAAAATCACAAGCCAGCACGTGCTATTCACCATCAGCCGATACGGCTCACACATGAGCAGTGTACTTATGAAATGCCTCAAACAGGACGCCTGTATTAAAATATGGCTCTTTTTTGTTCTGCATCATGCTGTTGCCCCCTTCATTTTTAAGTGCGACACAGGCAACAATCTTCATGACGCCCACCTTCAGACTAACCCCAGCAAATTATGTTCAAAAAGGGGCACTGAGGGCTTTGTAATATCCAATGTAAATATCAAACGCGGAAAAAAATTAGGATCAGGAAACTTCTGTATCGTAGTGTCTTTCCGCGTGTTCTGTGTTTTAGCGCCAATCACTATCTCCAGAAAATTTATTGCCTCACTGGGACGTAAGAAATACTCGTGAAATAAATCACAGTTTATCCATGGAGTAAATGATGATGAGCGGGGCGAAGCTTCGGAGGTTTCTATGGTCACGTCCGACCATCAGTATGTCTGTCTGTACGTCTGGTCATTCATATAGTGAACACTCCAAGTACCACCATCTCGCATCTTTTCATCATATATTCATCATATGCAAGTACCACTATCCAGCGGACATTCTTAGGACTTTACAAAAGGTATCTACCTACTACCACTACATACATCGAGGACGTACGACCCGCGCCTTAAGGAGTTTCAACTCTGAATTACGAAGTCCCACAGCCTGGGCGAGCATCTGCTAAACACACAATATTGTGGTGACTTCAAGATGTTCCGCCTCTTTAAGTGATCGCTTGCACTTACTATGCTGTCAAAATAACATATTCCCAAACCTACGTTGCCCACCAGTAATATTTAGTGACTATATAGGTAGGAAATTTATGGCGGTCCATTGCATGCAACCATATAATTTATAAAAGCAATCTACAGTCGCTGTTTCTATCAGAATAAATTCACAATCTTTATTTCAACCTTCCCGTTCTTTAAAGGGCACTTAAAATTGGGAGCTAGGGCGAAATACAATGAACAACTGTTCTTCACATCATTCACTCCACTTGACTTCACGGTGGAATTATGTAATAGAAAACTTGGTTTTGCTGGAACGCGAGTGTGCGAGCGTTTCTAGATTTGTGCAATAAATCGTGCCCATACCTACGCATTCAGCCGTGTGCGTCGCCCTGTGAACAAAAAACTGTCCTATTAAATGAACTTCAGTTGGATGAGAAATTTAGAAGCATGAATGATCCTTGAGCTTCGCACCTGCAAGAGTAAAATGCGATGACGTGATCGGACCACGGGTGAAACGCCTTCGCGTTGAATAGCCTGACTTCAGTTCTCAATGGATGCCTCACCTGTGAAGTAACGAATTTAATGACTCTGCGTGTAACATTGACCGATTTAAAAAGTCTTGGAATGCCTACTGTAAGTAGAGGTGTTTTTTTCTCAATTATACTATTTTGCCATGACTCATTAAGAGACCACGTAAAGCTACCCAGCTGTTCGCTGTACTGATCCTTTTACTGCTGAAGATGTATAAATACCAGTTAGCACTTTGTAACGGGTTGGCATACGAAACCCACAATCGTTGTGCAATGTGCACAACACGTGTAGCAATTCTACGCTGGCACTATCCAAATGCACATGCCCTCACGTGACTTTTTCCAAAACATGGCATTCATGTAGTGTTACTTTTTTCTCCAATGCAAGTGGGCGCATTGGTCACCAAAGCTGACCTGTCGTGCTCCGCATTATTGACCAAGAGGGGCTGCGCAGCATCGGCCGTGGAGTCGTGGAGCGCGGCAATGACTTTCGCCCAAGTGACATCGTGGCCTGGAAAACTTCCGGAAAACAAGTAAGCAACCAACTTAATAAGCCCCAGCTTAACAACGTTACCAAAGCAGCAAGTCAACTTTGCAATTTAGTGAAGCTCAAGGAAAACGCAGGATATCAAGAATTACCGAAGTGTCTGGCACGCCACTGAATTTGCTGGAGGAAGAACAGAAGATTTTATTAA